AGACACAGCCACCAGCCAGCCTAGAGAAGCATAAAAAGACTGCTTTGTTTTCTTGGGTGCTAGCAGACCAAGTTTGTGAAACATACCCTTTGACGACGTACCCCATGACCTGTTGTAGAATTCAAGGGTGAGTGCCCTTCTCCTTGTTCTTGGCTTGGATCATAAGCAATAGAGATTTCAGTGTTGATCGGCTGGTAAAGTATTGTTTGATGGCGACTGATCTCCATGCTTTACAAACTGCGGCAAAAGCAATCAAACCCGCCGGAGACACTATTCGTTGGGCGATCGAGTCGACAATATCTTCATGAAGACTCGACCAGTCATGAACTTTTCTGTTTGGGCTGGTTTGAGCCATCGAGTTAATATCAGTTACTTACTGTTGCCCTACCCTAACAGCTATGTTTATTTCTGTGTATACAGAGGCGGAGATTCTGCGTTTCCCTGTAGGATTGGAGAGGATTCCTTACTTTGACTAGTTCTCTCTCTCTCTCTCTCTCTCTCTCTCTCTCTCTCTCTCTCTCTCTCTGTGTTCTTTAAAGTCAGGAAAAAAAATTATATAAAAAAAAATAGTATAGCCGCGCGGCTATACGTTATATATATATAATTTTTATTTATTTATGAAACATGGGGGAAAGAACCCCAAAACCCAAACCAATAACTACACAACTCGAACCAAGAGGGTGGCGAACTCCTAAAGAGTCATCAATAAAAATGGAACCAAGACAACTAGGAGCCTCATCTAAAAACCAAACACACAACCCCATATTATAGCTCAAGTTAGCAAGGCAATCAGCAGCAAAATTCGAAAAATATGATGCACCTCCACACAATCCAGTTGAGTCAACATCTCTCTACAAGAATCCAGTAACCCAGCAAGGGGATGAACCTCAAGACTTTCCCTGCACTGAATAATAGTGGCTGAATCCATTTAAAAATATATATACTTTTTAAGTAACTGGAAATCTTTACAAAGTGTAATGATCACCAATTTCAAAGCTAAAACTTCATAAATTCACTTACTGGAAGTATGTATAGATCATGCTGTAACTCAGTTAAATCAATAGCCTTCCAATATCTTGCAGGCTCGAATTTAGATCCAAATAAAACATTTTTGAGTACCTAGAAGAAAACTTTGAAAGCTCAGAAAGTGCACATAGGGGTAGGAGATAGCTTTGAATCGGCTAGAAAGCCAAGATTGAACATTGTAGGCATTCAAAGAAGAGATGCTGTAACTCACAGTAGCATTGAAAATCCATGAAACTTGGGGAACATAAGCAATAGTCCCCCTGATTACAACACCAGAATCTGCTCTTGGAGGCAACTCTCCAAGCATGGCTGATACAAGCGACGTCTTCCCGCCAAACGGCTGTAAGGATACAGTTGCATTTACAACCTGTTAAATTAAAGCAGAGTTAGAAACTGACAAAGACAAGGAGAAACTGCGTAACATTTCGTTAAGTACGGATGAAACATAATCTCCATGTTGTAGATAAGATAATACAGGTAAAGGTGTTAAGCCAAATGCAAGATGACAGATAAGTGAACTGATAAGAAACTAATGCTACCTGACTTAATAAGTTAGGGCAGCATGTTTAACCCCAAAGGAAACCGTAGCACTGCAAAAAGAGAAAGCCATGTGAATGCCCTTGCAGGTGTCAAATCGCCGCCAAGAAAAGTGAACATCCCAAATGATATTAGTGTCACGACAACTGGGATGCTGTTCAGTATAAAACTGTTAAACTGCAAAAATAGAGGCAACTGGTCAGAGAAACTCAGAGCTAGTCCACAGCAAATGTGCTATCATATATTATTTATATAAAATCTATCAAGGAATAAACAGTTGCTTATCCATATGCAAACAAAAAAATCTTGGCAAATTATAAATTCGACAAACTGGTCTTGAAAAATAGGTAGAAAGTAATTTTCAGGATCACGTGTTGTGCCTTACAGCAGATAGTAATTGCGCTTTACGGAACCTTGATAGTTCATCATTCCTTGTACTTTGAACTCGTTGTTGGAAACTTGTCTCCCGGGCATAACATCTGAAACATTTTATTTTCCTTTCAGTAATGTCAGAACAATTACTGTCAGTGGTGTTCTATCTAGAAATGTACTGGCAGCTGTAATCAAATTAGCATCATCGATCCAATAATTGATGCAACACCTAATTGCTCGTAAAGAAGAACCATGGCTACAGTTACGAAAAGGAGCTGACCATAGTCCATGAAGTTGTTGACATATTTGCTAAATCATGAGAAAGACCATACTAGTTATAATTCAATCAAATGACTTAAAGCATTTCAAAGAATTAGAGATGGCATTTTCATTTAATGCAAAACAAGACAAGAATAAAACTGTATCTCTTAATGTATGATGATACCCAATCTACTTGATCTCTAGAGCATACCTGAAGGGCATTAGCATCTGTTGACATCTGTTCACAGACTAGAATAATTTGATCCACTTGAGGAAGAAAATGTAGCTGATTTGTGATCAGCACCCTAGTTTTCCCTTGCAACTCTTCCTTGATACAGGGGTTGAAAACCAGGAGCTGGTAAGGTGGTAACATATTAGGCTTCAGGGAGATCACACTTGGAGATTGAAGAGGAACATCCAATCCAAGCTGCGTCACCTCGTTGCATTGAGAGGAAGAAAGAGAGGAAATTCGAAAGAAAGGATTCTGACTATTTCAAGATTTTAGATTAGTATGTACTTGTTTGTAGTTAGGCATAAAACCTATTATAAAAATAAAATAATACGTATAGCCGGGCGGCTATACTATTTAAATATTCGAATATATTTAAAAAGTATAGCCGAGCGGCTATAATATTTTTTTTTTCTTCTGGCTACACTCTTTAAATATTATAGCCCCAAGTCTGTTTTCCTCTCCCGCCTTTTTCTCTTCTTTCTTCACTCTCTTCCAAATGACATGTTCACCTCACCACACCGACAACTATGACAATTCCTCCCTCTGCCAACTCCACCAATTCCAGCTCCAGATTGCTCACTTAGGTATTTACGCCCACTTCAAGCTTTATTTTTTTATCCTTCAATTTGTTACCCAAGATTACTCCTCTAGGCACTAAAGTGCCTCTCGCAGGAAAAAGGTCGTCGCTGTATCGATACATTGTCCGCAAATCAGCCTCTATGTAAGCTAACTTCGACTATGAAAGGGGATTTAATTAGCTGAACTTGTAAGGTTCTCCTTTTTGCATTTTGCTTGCTATGTTCTTTTTGAGGGGTTTATTTAATCAGTGGTTGTGAACTTGTTTTAGTACTGCAATGTATAAAAATGGTGGTAGTATGATATATATTATTGCTTAATATAGAGGAAATGCATATCTATTGACCTTGGTTTTATACCATCTCAAATACTGTTTGTCTGCTTAAGATTATATATTGATGGTGATTTGGCGATGGAAGAACAGAGAGCCTTTTGAATAACCGTATAGTGACTGCAGCATTATGTATGTCTGGGGCTTGGAACTTGAAAGGGATTGATTATTAATGGTCAAAATCTGTTTTTGATCTTTCTGTCACTTGTTTTCCAAGGACGGAGGGTGTTCTGTTTTTTACTAACAAAAGGAAGCAGATTCTCATCCTTTTAGACAAAATGTTCAACCAAATATTGATTACCTTAAACTCCACCACTTAAGAAATAGGCAAAATGAAATAATTTGATCCAAAGATGAGATTTTTTTTAAAATGAAATAGGGGGGAAGACCCCCAAAACAGCTACACTCTTTCAATACCAATCAAACGAGCACGAGAAACACCTAATAAATCATCAACCAAGGCATCACTAGCTCAAACAGGAGCAGTGTCAAAGAAACAAATACCAAAATCCAGATTGTAACTCCAGTTTGCTAGGCAGTCAGCAAGGCAATTCTTCTCTCTAAAAATATGGTGAATCTTGTAAGTCTCAAACTGCCTAAGAAAATCACAGCAATTATACAGCAGACCAGCAAGGGGATGAAAACAATAGGAATCCATTTGCTGAATAAGAATAACAGCTAGAGCCAAGTCCAACTCAATGACAATCCTACTAACACCTTTATCCAGGGCCAGTGTAAGATCAAAAAATAAAACCCAAAGCTCAGCTTCAAGGATTTGACCCTTCCCCAGATTCACAGAAAATCCCCCAAGCCATTCCCCTTTGCTATCATGAAGAACGCCTCCAGCACCAACATTCCCAAAAGCCGCTTTATGAGACCCATCCACATTGAGTTTGACCACTGCAGTCCCAGGAAAATCCCAAGCCAAAAGAGATTGCACTTTCTCCCCAACTGCCCTACAACCACAAGAAGCCTTGCTCCACTCAGAAACAGCAGAGAGAATAGGATTAGAAGGGACAACCTCCTCAGCATTAAAAATAAATTGGTTTCTCCATTTCCACAAATACCAACAAATAAACACAAACACAGAACTCCGAAGATGAGATTTTAAATCAGCAGAGAAGAAATGAGTGTGTTGACTGTGATGCAAAAAATAGCTCCAAACCTCTTTGGCTTTACTACAATCTCTGAGAATATGGACAGCAGCTTCGGAAGGCCAATCATTTAAAGAACAAGAAGAATCCATAGATAAATGCCTCCCAACTCTCTGATCATTAGAAATAATTTTATCCTGGTACGCAAGCCAGATAAAAACTTACAACTTGGGGGAAGTGTCAACTGCCACGAAGCCTTCCAAAAAGCATCAGTCCAAGAAGAGTCTCCCAAAAGCAATTGATAAGCAGATTTTACGGTAAAACTCCCATTGGCATTAGGCTTCCAAATATGAGAATCCTACAAATTACTATTAAACCCAGAAGAGAAACTAATAACCTTTTGCACCACCTCTTCAGGCACAGTAGCTCTCAGCTTCTTAATATCCCACCATCCCTGCTTAAAGAAACTTGACACAGGACAATCAAGGTCCAACAACTCCCCCACCTCCTCATAATGTATCAAAGGCACATCAGACAACCATTTATCAGTCCAAAACTTCACCTTATCCCCCATACCAATTCTCCAAGTCATCCCCTGCAAAAGACGCTTAGAGCCATGTAAAATTCCCTTCCAAGTGGCAGAACAATCCTTCCTAACCTCCAGAGAATTATCCAAAATAGAGCAGCCTTTCAGATACTTATCCTAAAAAAATTTAGCCCACAAACCCTTATCTTTAGCATGTAATCTCCAACCAATTTTACCCAACATGGCTTGATTATCCAAAGATGAGATTTTAAAATACAACAATCACCTAAGGCTTTAAAATGGTGCTTGAATCCATAAATATGGCGCTCTTAAATTGAGGCGTTTGCCCAAGCAAGGCTTGATTTTCCCATCTGTCATATTAAAAACAAAATAACTGGCGTCCATATCTCCATTGGTAAGTGCGAGACACTCACAAAAATCAACCGTGAAGCAAATGCTATTCCCCAAACATACAAAGTTCTTGTTCTTCTTGCATTCGATAGAGAAGGAAGAATTATGGCGTCCCAGAAATAGGGTATTGTCACCCAAGTTCTTTACCTGCAAATCCGACCAATGGCACCAGCACTTGCCACAACCCTCCAATGGCACATTGAAAACCCTAAACTCAGTTGTTGAACTGAACCATTGCCTAAGACGCAGAACCACCAACAAGGCCCCTTGTGATTCCACCAGATAAAGGCTTTGATCAACAGAAGCACACATGGGTTCCATTGGCACTTTCGGAACAACAATCCTCATTTTTGGTTGCTCAGGCTCTGCAATCTCACAAACCATTATATTCCCATCAAAGTCCACAGCATAAAACTGCCCTTTATAATGAGCAAGATCCATTATATTCCTCCCCACTCTGGTCCATTCATCTTCTCCTGGTCTCCAAAACCCCCAGCCTCCCAAAATCCTATAAATAACAGTCACTATATAATCACACGTCCAAGAAGGGCTTGATGACAAGACAAACTTACTAGCTATGAACTCGTACGGCACGCCGGAAAAGCTCTGTTGCTGGTGATGGTTTCTGACTTTGTTAATATCTGGAAGTTCAATCTGGGCATGGCTTAAAGGGTGCAGCAGATCAACCTTCAAATCCTCAGACACAGCCACCAGCCAGCCTAGAGAAGAATAAAAAGACTGCTTTGTTTTCTTGGTTGCGAGCAGACCAAGTTTGTGAAACGTACCCTTTGACCACGTACTCTTTGAGCTGTTGTAGAATTCAGGGGTGAGAGTGCCCTTCTCCTTGTTGTTGGCTTGGATCATAAGCACTGGAGATTTCAGTGTTGATTGGCTGGTAAAGTATTCTTTGATGGCGGCTGATCTCCATGCTTTACAAACTGCGGCAAAAGCAATCAAATCCGCCGGAGAGACTATTCGTTTGGCGATCGAGTCGACGACATCTTGATGAAGACTCGACCAGTCGTGAACTTTTCTGTTTGGACTGGTTTGAGCCATCGAGTTAATGTCAGTTACTGTTGCCCTACCCCAACAGCTTTGTAGAGAGGCGGAGATTCTGCGTTTCTTGGATTCCTTACTTAACTAAAAGAGAAGGAATGCTATCTGCATTTTCTTTAAAGTCAGGAAAAAAACAAGTATAGCAAAAACAGTATAGCCGGGCGGCTATACTATTTTTAAAAAAGCATAGCCGCGCGGTTATACTATTTTTTTTAACATGTATAGCCGCGCGGCTATACTATTTTTAAAAAGTACGGATATATTTGAATAGTATAGCCGCCCGGCTATACGGTTTAAATATTTTTTAGGTGACTGGAAATCTTTATAGTGTAATGATCACCAATTTCAAAGCTAAAACTTCATATATTCAGTTACTGGAAGTTAGATCCAAATAAAACATTTTTGCGTACCTAGAAGAAAACTTTGAAAGCTCAGAAAGTGCACATAGTGGGTAGGAGATGGCTTTGAATCAGCTAGAAAGCCAAGATTGAACATTGTAGGCATTCAAAGAAGAGATGCTGCGACTCACAGTAGCATTGAAATCCATGAAACTTGGGGAACATAAGCAACAGTCCCCCTGATTACAACACCAGAATCTGCTCTGGGAGGCAGCTATCCAAGCATGGCTGATACAAGCGACGTCTTCCCTTCTCCAGTGCCACCAACAACTGCCACTAAGCTTCCAACCGGTATATCTAAGTTGATGTTTGATAAGGTGGGCTTCTCTGCCAGCAAAAAGAAAGAAGGAGAGGGGTGTTGTTCAATATGTTTGACACTCAACATGCAACTAGCATCATCAAGTACATTTGAAAAGTTCCTGGAATTTCTATGTAACTACTTTCTTGCAAAATTTCCACATAATTTAAATGGCATTGTGTGGGTCTATGAAAAGACTATGTAACTAAGAATGAACTATATATTTCTAAAAGAAGAGAGTCATTATTGTCAAGCGTTGACCTTTGAATCCCATGAAAAGTAACCATCCTTAATTGAGATGGCTGGAAGCCTGGTTCAAGAGGCTGGTTCGGCACAAGAATTCTCTCCTCGGTTAAAAATATCCAAACACTGTAAGGATACATTTGCATTTACAACCTGTTAAATTAAAGCGGCCGGAGTTAGAAACTGACCAAGACAAGGAGAAACTATGTAACATTTCGTTAAGTATGGATGAAACATAATCTAGATGTTGTAGATGAGATAATACAAGTAAAGGATGTTGAGCCAAATGCAAGATGACAGATAAGTGAACTGATAAGAAACTAATGTTACCTGACTTAATAAGTTAGGGCAGCATGTTTAAAGGAAACCGTAGCCTGCAAAAAGAGAAAGCCATGTGAATGCCCTCGCAGGTGTCAAATCGCCGCCAAGGAAAGTGAACACCCCAAATGATGTTAGTGTCACAACAACTGGGATGCTGTTCTGAAACATTTTATTTTCAGTAATGTCAGAACAATTACTGTCAGTGGTGTCCTATCATACTTCACATTGTCCATGGCTGCCAAAATTTCGTTCATGAGGCCCACTCTCTTGTCAGTCCTTTGCCAGTTTTCGAATTTTGCTGATCACGATTGTCTTTTCACAAAAGAATTTATGACAAATGAGTCATTAGACAGAAGAACCAAAATCCTTATCAATAAATCAAACAGCAGAAGAAGATACGGTATTGGGGCACCTTATATATAATCTAAGCAAGGAGCCTAATGATGAAAATGAAATTCGCTAATTAAAATATATGATGTTGCTTTGAAATATCGTGCAAATTTCTACCCATATGTTCATGAATATAAAATCCACAAATTTCCACCTTAAGGACAAGAAATTTGATATGATATTGGATGTACTAAGTTGCCAAGAAAGCATTATAGCAGATGAACCGCGCAGCTTATTCTCTTCTCTCTGCGCTCTCTCCCAAATGACATGTTCACCTCACCACACCAACGACAACTATGACAATTCCTCCCTCTACCAACTCCACCAATTCCAGCTCCAGATTGCTCACTTAGGTATTTACGCCCACTTTAAGCTTTATTTTTTTATTCTTCAATTTACTACTCTAGGCGCTACAGTGCCTCTCGCAGGAAAAAGGTCGTCGCATATCGCTACATATTGTCTGCAAATCAGCCTCTATCTAAGCTAACTTCGACTATGAAATTAAAGCGGATGTAATTAGCTGAACTTGTAAGGTTCTCCTTTTTGCATTTTGCTTGCTATGTTTTTTTTGAGGGGTTTATTTAATCAGTGGTTGTGAACTTGTTTTAGTACTGCAATAAATAAAAATGGTGGTAGTATGATAAATATTATTGCTTAATATAGAGGAAATGCATATCTATTGACCTTGGTTTTATACCATCTCAAATACTGTTTGTCTGCTTAAGATTATATATTGATGGTGATTTGGTGATGGAAGAACAGAGAGCCTTTTGAACAATAGTATAGTGACCTCAGTATTATGTATGTCTGTGGCTTGGAACTTGAAAGGGATTGATTATTAATGGTCAAAATCTGTTTTTGATTTTTCTGTCACTCGTTTTCCAAGGACGGAGGGTGTTCTGTTTTTTACTAACAAAAGGAAGCAGATTCTCATCCTTTTAGACAAAATGTTCAACCAAATATTGATTACCTTAAACTCCACCACTTAAGAAATAGGCAACATGAAATAATTTGATCCAAAGATGAGAATCATTTTTTATGAAATAGGGGGGAAGACCCCCAAAACAGCTACACTCTTTCAATACCAATCCAATGTGCACGAGAAACGCCTAACAAATCATCAACCAAGGCATCACTAGCCCAAACAGGAGCAGTGTCAAAGAAACAAATACCAAAATCCAGATTGTAACTCCAGTTTGCTAGGCAGTCAGCAAGGCAATTCTTCTCTCTAAAAATATGGTGAATCTTGTAAGTCTCAAACTGCCTAAGAAAATCACAGCAGTTATACACAAGGGGATGAAAACAATAGGAATCCATTTGCTGAATAAGAATAACAACTAGAGCCGAGTCCAACTCAATGACAATCCTACAATACCTTTATCCAGGACCAGTTTAAGATCAAAAAATAAACCCCAAAGCTCAGCTTCAAGGATTTGACCCTTCCCCAGATTCACAGCAAATCCCCCAAGTCATCCCCCTTTGCAATCATGAAGAACGCCTCCAGCACCAATATTCCCAAAAGCTGCTTTATGAGACCCATCCACATTAAGTTTTGACCACTCCAGTCCCAGGAAAATCCCAAGCCAAAAGAGTTTGCACTTTCACCTCAACTGCCCTACAACCACAAGATGCCTTGCTCCACTCAGAAACAGCAGAGAGAATAGTCTGCCTAGGAGCTTTTAAAATACACAAATACCAACAAATAAATTGGTTTCTCCATTTCCACAAATACCAACAAATAAACACAAACACAGAACTCTGAAGATGAGATTTTAAAATACAACAATCACCTAAGGCTTTAAAATGGTGCTTGAATCCATAAATATGGCGCTCTTAAATTGAGGCGTTTGCCCAAGCAAGGCTTGATTTTCCCATCTGTCATATTGAAAACAAAATAACTGGCGTCCATATCTCCATTGGTAAGTGCGAGACACTCACAAAAATCAACCGTGAAGCAAATGCTATTCCCCAAACATACAAAGTTCTTGTTCTTCTTGCATTCGATAGAGAAGGAAGAATTATGGCGTCCCAGAAATAGGGTATTGTCACCCAAGTTCTTTACCTGCAAATCCGACCAATGGCACCAGCACTTGCCACAACCCTCCAATGGCACATTGAAAACCCTAAACTCAGTTGTTGAACTGAACCATTGCCTAAGACGCAGAACCACCAACAAGGCCCCTTGTGATTCCACCAGATAAAGGCTTTGATCAACAGAAGCACACATGGGTTCCATTGGCACTTTCGGAACAACAATCCTCATTTTTGGTTGCTCAGGCTCTGCAATCTCACAAACCATTATATTCCCATCAAAGTCCACAGCATAAAACTGCCCTTTATAATAAGCAAGATCCATTATATTCCTCCCCACACTGGTCCATTCATCTTCTCCTGGTCTCCAAAACCCCCAGCCTCCCAAAATCCTATAAATAACAGTCACTATATAATCACACGTCCAAGAAGGGCTTGATGACAAGACAAACTTACTAGCTATGAACTCGTACGGCACGCCGGAAAAGCTCTGTTGCTGGTGATGGTTTCTGACTTTGTTAATATCTGGAAGTTCAATCTGGGCATGGCTTAAAGGGTGCAGCAGATCAACCTTCAAATCCTCAGACACAGCCACCAGCCAGCCTAGAGAAGAATAAAAAGACTGCTTTGTTTTCTTGGTTGCGAGCAGACCAAGTTTGTGAAACGTACCCTTTGACCACGTACTCTTTGAGCTGTTGTAGAATTCAGGGGTGAGAGTGCCCTTCTCCTTGTTGTTGGCTTGGATCATAAGCACTGGAGATTTCAGTGTTGATTGGCTGGTAAAGTATTCTTTGATGGCGGCTGATCTCCATGCTTTACAAACTGCGGCAAAAGCAATCAAATCCGCCGGAGAGACTATTCGTTTGGCGATCGAGTCGACGACATCTTGATGAAGACTCGACCAGTCGTGAACTTTTCTGTTTGGACTGGTTTGAGCCATCGAGTTAATGTCAGTTACTGTTGCCCTACCCTAACAGCTTTGTTTGTGTATAGAGAGGCGGAGATTTTGCGTTTCACTTTAGGATTGGGATTCCTTACTTAACTAAATGTGGAGAAATGCTATCTACATTTCCTATTTCACTCACGCAACAAAGATGTTATGAATGGGGTTCGAATTTGCAAGTCAAGGTCCTTTTATACTAGACTTCTTTTACGACATTCTTCAATTTGTCACTCCCATTCTTCTGTTGACATGTACTGTGCAAGTTAAGTCCACGTGTCAATAGAGAAATGCAAATTGAGAAAGGTAAATAGGAAAGGTAGATAACGTTCCTGTGACTAAATATGGTTAACGATTACATGGTGGCATAGTTCTCACTTATAGTTAATAAACTAAGGAACCATACAAATACGAATGAAATACATATGTATATTGGTAAAAAAAATATAAAAAAGTTGACAAATTCGATCATTATATAATATTTTAATATTATTTATTGAAACTTTGTAGTGTATATCTCTTTATTCAATATTATGTGTAACATACGTGTATATTACATTAATTTTTCATGTATTGTTGAAAAGTTTGTTAAAAATACATATATGTATAATACTTATATTGTATGTTTAATTTTTTATAATAAAAAATTGGTATTTTACCGTGCCTTTGAGATGTATACGAGAAATAGAAGTATTTGTGAAAAATACATATGTATATATGTATCATATGTAAATTTACTAATTATTTTCTCATTCTTTTTGCAGTCATTCAACCAATATATATTCATTACTTTAAGTAATCTCCACTAGATAGAAAAGAAATATCGTCCAAGATAAAGATTGTATCATAAAACAAGCAAATTAAACAAAAGAAAACATGTACACAAAACAACGAAGAGTTTCACCTTTAGAAATTAGAGGGAACAAAATTAATACAAATATCAAACCACAAAGTGTTCCAACTAATCTTGTACAAGGAAAACATGGTATAAGAACATATACCTCTTTTGAGCCCCCCAAAAAAAACATATAGCTCAGCATCACCATGGATTAGGAACAATCCAAAAGGGTGGTGGGTCGATTCTCCACTTACCAAATTGATCAAACGGCTTCACAACTTTGTCTTGTATGCTGTAAATTCCATTGTCATGGCCACCATAATCATTAGCAAAACCGTGGAACTTAAAACTGATCTCATCCCACTTGTCATCTGTGAAGTAAATTGAGTTTTCTTCAAACTCTGGGAAATCAATGGTGGATAATGATATCGACTGGTTTCCACCCAAAAACAAAGCCCGATCAGGCAAACATTCCACTTTCTCCCACTTTTTGGCACTCAAATTCAACTTAAAGATATAAAACTGCATTGTTCTGTACGGAAAACAATCCTCATCACCAGGGCTCAACGGATCAACAGCTCTGCCTTGACAATCAAGAAAGTTCCCTTTAACTCGCCCCACGAACAAAATCTCACCCAATGACTCCACCAAATAAGTCTGAGTAGAAAATTCCCAGCTCCGAAACTTCAAAATATTCGAGCGGTCTTGCAAAGAACCTAAGGAAGGTCGATGGAGATTGATGATTCTGATGGGAAAAGAGGTGTTCTTGAAGTCCCAAACTTCAACCGAGCCATGTTCAGCAAATGCAAATAGCTGGTTATTGTGGAATATAATGTCACTATATGCTCTATGCTTGCCCTCCAAGCTAGTCCATGCCCCCCCATACTTACAGAAGGCAAGTTTCAATGGTGCTGGTAGGTCTAGAGGCCTGCCGTAGATGATCACTACAACAAAGTTGTTGTATTTGCCAGTGGGGGCAGAGGAAAGGATGGCCTTGGCAATATAAGTCTTGCGCAGGTTTTCGTCGATTGAGCGATCAACAGGCCAAAACAGCGGGAGTTGAATTCTGTTTCCAGAAATCGGATTCAAGAGATGCGGGTTTGCTCTTTTGTCCAAAATCACCAGCCAGCCGTGTGATGAACCCACACACCAAGCATTGTCAAATTCTTGAAACGCGCTCTCGATGGTGTAAAGTTTTTTCTCTTGGAAACTATAAAAGCAGCGAGTGGTGTCGTTGTAGTTATGAGTCCTGTTTTGTTGGATAGGAGGGAGCATGAGCCATGGTGTTTGGGGCCCCGAAGCAGAACCCGAAAAGTAGGATTCCATGGCGTGGTTCCAGGAGGAACAAACTGCTTTGAACCGAAGCAAGTCGGTGATAGAAAGATTTTTCATGATCAGGTTTAACAGTTGAGTCTGGAGCTCAGACCAATTTGGTGATGATGTTGTTCTTTTCTTTTTGGTGACCATTGTGGCAGTGTTAGATGATGATGCTGTTCTTCTCCTTTTGGTGACCATTGTGGCAGTGTTAGATGGCGTGGGAAGGAAGGAAGGGAAGGAAGGAAAAGAATCTGCTCTCAGCTCCATTTATAGGCAATGCAGCAATCCAGGTTGAATTAGGAAACTTATTTCAGCCATCAATTACTAACTTGACCAGGGAAGGAAAGAGTCTTGGTTTTCCCTGTAGGATTGGGATTTCTTTTTATATATAAATATAGTCAAATATATATTATTAATTTAGTAAAACAAAATATTTACATCTTTTTCCCCTAAACAATTCTAAAGGCAGAATTTATGGTTGCACTTTTATCTTTCATATTTGGCAGGAAGCTGATCTGCATCTATTGAGACATGTTTGATGAAATATCCATTGTTCTGAACTGGGTTTAAGATTGTTGGTTGTCACAAGAACCTTGATAATCTCTAACCCGGATTAGAGATTTGCAAATCATTCTGTTTAAGACCTCATGATTGAACTAATTGCTGATTTTCACCATCTTCATCATCCTTTTGTGATTTCTGCCGATTCAAACCATTAGAAAACCGAGGAAGCTTCAACATGGTATTTACTCTTTCAACTCCATCAAGCGCATTCCACTCTTCCTTTGAGTCTTCTGTGATCTTGCTACTCACCACAGATTCATTCATGTCTTCTGTGATCTTGCTACTGATCTCAGATGCAGGGCATCCCACGTCACTTACAATGTTGGATCTTGTGCTATAGTAAGACAATGAAAGCTCTGTATCATTTGGTTTGCCTCCACGACTCAAGTTAGATGCGGTTTGTGTTAACGATGGTTGGTCTTTCAGGTACAAGCATATGACTGCGCAGTCGTCGATTTTCGATTCTGGGAACTTTCTTTTCCATGCTCTAACAGCACGCTTTACCACCAATTCGGCTGCAATGGATCGCCTCTTTGCTGAAGCAACTATCTTTACCACATCAGTATTTGTCAATGCATCCCACACCTGCACAAAGCATGGTCACCAAATCTGTTCATCAAATGATGTGATGAATACAATTTAGAGCTAGGAAACTTCAGGCTTAGTTCAAGGATTTTCAGGTTTCACAACCATTTATCTGCACTCATTTCACAATTTGGTATGCTTTTTTAACCATCAAGTTTGCCTGTTTAGCAATTCAAATATTAGTAAACAAAATGTGTTGTTTTCCTACCCCATCAGTTGCCAAGACCACAAATTCATCACTGCTTGAGATCCTTCTATATGAAACTTCAGGGATTGAGATTAGGCCACAATCTTTGACACAGAAATCTCCAAAAGCCCTTGACATTGCTAGACCAGGGCAATCTTCATCGGGCATCCATAATCTATACACTTCTGGTTCTTCATCCACTGATAAAATTCTGCCTTTGCAATTCTTTATTCTCTCAGCTTCACCTGAGTCATACCAGTAGGGAAAAATAAGAAGATCAATACAACTTTGATCATCATGCTTCAAGTAAAATCTTAAGAGCACAAGTACTCAA